TTCTCCTTAATGAAATTCACATTTGTAACTTTAGTGTGTAAACACATCAGGATGTATATATCTCAGGTATATTGTGATCCCCTTTACCGTTACTTCATTTTGTATTTAGGAACACTGCTTTACAAATTACAATCACAGTTATTGAAAATGTTAACAAAATAATATTGAAACTTTCTATAACTAATTATATGAAAAGAAGCAATATGAAAGTAGATGTATATAATTTCACATTTTTAACCAGCTTTTAATAAGCAATTGAATTATCAAATAACATAAGTGTTATTATTAATTGCAGGCTTTTGTTAAATGTTATGATGAAAATCTGGACCAATCAAGAAAATATTTCCACAAATATATTCAACTATATACTAATATTCTTCTATCTATAAAATATATCACTGCATTCATGAGGCCAATATTTTATTCCACAGAGAATCAGACCCTTTTTTCACCAACAACTGAACCACATTTTATCTCATAGTGGTAATACATTTTGTGACAGCCTAACAAATGGAAATGGATCAGTTATGTAAGCAGATTATAGTATATGGAAGTCAGAACTTATGTGTGTTATGATGTCACTCCTTTGTGTGAGTACTGTCTTTAATTCTACTATCCTACTGTTGAAACTGTAGCTGTAAGTGCAAGACTATGTACTCATTTATAATCAGTGGTGTGCCACGCATGGAAGCAAGGGAAGCATTGCTTCCATAGTTAAGAAAAGGAATGAAAGGAAGTCATATATAAATAAATCAATTCGAATATTGTCATTTAGCGCGTGTTCCTGCTCAAGGCCACATGCCTCCTCCTTCTCCCTAACCCTGCTTGGTGGGATGGACCAAGTTTCGTTTTGTTAATCTTCGTAATACTTTGTCCAATCCGAAGGAGCCAAGGGAAGCAAATTTCAGTTTGCTGGCTAGGCCAGCAAAGGAATGTGTTATTTCGATGGTTATGTGAAAATTAACTGTTTATGTGTGATTTCAGTCTTGATGGGTATTATAGGTAACATTTAGTGTTATTAAAATATTGTAAGTGCATATTTATATGGCATAAGATTGTATTTGTGATCGTATTTTGACGCATCAGAAGGAAGTTGTCCGCGTTTAAGGGAAGCAAATCTGATATTGCGGTAAGATGGGCAGGGGTGTGAATAGACTACACACACAGGCAACAGCTAAAATGAATGCTGGTAGACAACACGACTGCAACTGTGCAATCGAAAGCCTTTTAAAATGGGGGTTGAATAGCAGAGCATTTTCTGAAAAGAAAATAATTTTAGAAAGAGGCCGACCGACAAGCAAGTTGCCAGAACTTAAAGCACAAACCAAATTATGTGTGAGAGAATTTAATTTGGAACAGTATTCTAAAACAGAGTGGTTATCCGGTTGCTGTAATATAGGAAAATTGTTTTGTTGGCCATGCCTATTGTTTCTCAATGAAAAAAATATATGGAACAAGACTTGGTTTGGTGATATCAACAACCTTAATAAAGCATTGAAACAGCATGAGAATTCTCAGGCTCACATAATTTTAACAATGCAACTTGTTATGTTCAGTAAATCTCGAACTGACTGTCAACTTGACAGTCAAAAGCGCCTGTCGATATTACATAGAGAAATAATGAAACACTTGATTGATATCTTCTGCCATTTAGGAAACTGGCAACTTGGCCTCCGTGGTCTTGATGAAAGCATGGATTCTATTGACCAAGGTAATTATGTGGAACTAGTTCATTTGTTGAGGAAATATGATCATAAACTCAATGTTCACCTTGAGAACAGTACAGAATTTACAGGTTCATCGAACAGAATACAAAACGACCTTATTGACTCAATAAGTGATGTAAAATTTGGTGAGTTGATTACTATCAGTTCATTTATTAGATAGTACTGCTTCCCTTACCAAAAATAGTACCGCACGCCACTGTTTATAATATTGTATTTAAGCATATTGTTGCATTAATATATTCTGCACAGACTATACTATTTCTGTTCACATTGCAACTTATTTATTTTCTCCTTCTTTACACATTCACAACATGTTTTGGCCATATATGGCCATCATCAGGTGTTCTTTTGCCAGAAACTGTTTCACTGTATGGTATATCACACTTCTTCTATCACATATGAATGCATTGTGTCCTAATTTAAAGTAATGGACTCCATTAAAATAAAAAATTCAACAAAGTCTTGTTAAAATTTAGTTAAAATATTTCAATATTTTGCTTGGGGGCTGTCAACTCTTTATCCAAACTCCATTATGTAGATTTTGTTTGTTTGGATTACTTGTTCAGCCACATGAGTGCTTGTGTGTATGTATCTCTCAGAATATTGATGTAGTTATCATGTATGCCCCCTGCCTGTAGACAGGCAGGTTAAGAAGTCTGAGGGCAAGGGGCATGCATGATAACTAATCAATATTCTGAGAGCTCTCTTAGCTGTGTACATCTGTTGTTCCTATAGGGAACACAATGCAACACAAGAAGCACACAGCTAAGAGAGTGGCACACCCAATAGGCTAGAAACGGCCACAATACAAAAGATACATAGAAGGAAAACATCCTATGTCATCAAAATTAATGATGATAACGATTTGCTGTAGGAGTTCTATTTGACCAAGTGCACGGTGCAATAGACTCCTTAAAAAATGTGTTGCCTGAAGATGGCCCTGCGCGGCTGTAACAAGTAGTATAAACACTGAATGTACATATATTTTAATAATATTTTAAATATTTAACAAACATTTTAGTTANATTTAGAACTTTTAGGTGGGTTTCGATATTTTTACTTAGTTATTCTCATCTATACTATTTCATAAATCTCCCCTCACTTTAAACTTTATTCATGAATGAAATAAATTCTCCCAACCTGTTCTAAATATGACCCTGGACATATTACTAATAAGTAACAAATCAGTCAGATTTTAGCATGAAAAGTTTTTATATAAGATTTGAGGCTTTCACGGCGGTGACTATGAAGAAAGCAGTCTTCTGGGATTTGGCACCGTGTATATGTGGTGTTAACCGACGTTTCGGAGGAAGGCGATACGTTCCTCCGAAACGTCGGTTAACACCACATATACACGGTGCCAAATCCCAGAAGACTGCTTTCTTCATAGTCACCGCCGTGAAAGCCTCAAATCTTATATAAAAACTTTTCATGCTAAAATCTGACTGATTTGTTACTTATTAGTAATATGTCCAGGGTCATATTTAGAACAGGTTGGGAGAATTTATTTCATTCATGAATAAAGTTTAAAGTGAGGGGAGATTTATGAAATAGTATAGATGAGAATAATTCAGTAAAAATATCGAAACCCACCTAAAAGTTCTAAATAAACTCCAGGAAGAGGAACCCAAAGCCTCTAATTTGTGTGTGGTGCTCTAAGATGAATGCAGCACTGCAGTGCCATAGAAAAAAAATGTTTTGACAGATCTAGCTACAAAGCATGTACGTATCTGTTCTTAAGTTTTCATTATGTTGCACGTTTCATAGAAACATTTATATTATGCCATATGATGACAAACATTTGTTTCACATTCATTTTCACTAATGGAGACTGCATTAAGCATTTCAGTATCTTTCCCTCTAAAACCTAGATGTGGCCTTGAATATATCTGTCACTCTTACATGACTGCTCTAAATATGTAAGGTACTGGATATTATTACAACATACAATTCTGCATACTGAGTGCACTGTTTATATATGCATTAAAATGAGACTTACTTTCCTTATAAATTATGGTCACAAAGGATACTGACAGTTCAAACTGGCCCTCTCTGTTTGGTGTACTAGAATATCATCTCATGATAAGAACATTTTGGCACCATGAAAAAATCACAAATTGAACACTGAACCGAGAAGAGTGTCTAGAAGCACAAGACCATACTTAATTTATTTATGAATTATGAAGAATATGTAAAAGACGTTAATTTGAACCAGTTTGAGCAGTACACGTTCCTTATGCTGGAAAGAATGCAGCATGGATATATCAATCTTACAGCCTTGCACAGCCAATTTCATATATTTTTAGATGCTGTAAGGGCAATGTAATGAGTTTTGCAATGATTTGAAAGATTTCTATGTAATTGGTATATGCGAGGGTTGGAACTTTAATAGTGGCAACTATTTATTTACAACTGATACAAAATAGATGCATGTTTAAAAGTTTTACTGTCCTTCAGTGTAGTCACCAGCATTGTGTACAACCTGTTGCCAGCGATGTGGAAGTCATAGGATACCTTTAGCAGTGCCTGTTATGTTGATAGTTCGAATGTAGCGGTCTACTGCCTGAAGAATCTCTGGAACAGTTCTGAAGCGAATGCCACAAAGTGGTTCCTTCATCTTAGGAATCAAGTTGGAGTCACAAGGGCTTAAGTCCGGGGAGTGTGGTAGATGGTACAGCACTTCCCAGCCCCACTGATCAAACAAATCAGCTACAACTTGCGCTGCATGCGGCCGAGCATTGCCCTACAAATGATGGATGTTTTCTGCAGAAAGTATCGCCGTTTCTTTCTCAAAGCTGTTCGCAGGTTGTGTTCCAAAAATGAACAGTAATACTGCGCATTCACGGTCTGCTGTCGGGGAACGGTATGCGTTAGGATAACATCATCACAGTTGTACACGAGAATCACCATAACTTTCACATTGCTGGGGTTCTGACAAACTTTTGATTTTCGTGGTGACCTGTAATGACGCCATTCGTTCGATTGGCGTTTCATTTGTGGCCCATACGATTTGGCCCATGTCGCATCCAGCATGTTGATATGGCGTAAGACAGCCTCTCCTTCGCACTCATAGCGCTCCAAGAAGACCTTGATGACACTGTCGTGCTGTATGGCCTCTGGCACATTCAATCTTTATCCAACTCGGTTGTTCCTGTTTTGAAAACATCGTGACAACACTACATTAGACCGCCAGCTAACACGAGGCTCTGTTCTTCTCATCACTGCGCATGCCCGTGATGTGGGAAGGGAGAGTCCATTTGCTCTGAGGTAAGGTAGGTATGTAACTAACGCGTGGTATAAGCGACATTATTTGGTTCCGTTGCATGGCGTCTCTACAGCAGTGTTGCACTGTTAAAGTTCGAACCCTTGTACCATGTTCCTTACATAACTAACCTTGTCCTCCCTGCCCTTGAATAATTGTGGCGAACATCCATGCCGCATTGTAGAACAAGATGCAAGCCACTTCTAATATCAAATTACTTGGAACATTTTTCAGGCACTTTTTCAGCAATGTCTGTGGCTACATAGAAGAATGATATTAGTTACTTATGTTTGAAAATGAGTTACAATATTCTTCTAGGCAGTCTCAAAATTCTTAATATATTTGCCTTGATATCTCAAATAGAAATGAAGTTATATTTCAGCTTACTTCTGTAATTGGTTGTCATTTATTTTAGGATGCAGGATTTGTAGCTCTGACACAGAATGCTTGAATGTTTAAAATCAAGCAAAAGTTTTGTTCAACACATGATTCAACATATCTGGAAGTAACATGATAACGACTGATTATGTAAGATGTCCAAAGAAGTTTGAACTGAAAGAAACAGCAGTAGTTCAGGGATGCTGGAAACTATGTACCTTACCTTGGTGCGCACTCTTACACATCAAGCTTGAACTCCTTGAACAGACAAATTGAAATTTTATATTGGGAAATAATAATGATATTCATATTTGCAAGTAATATTAGGTATGAAATCAGTCATGAAACATATATAAGATTTAAGAATGTTTCAATTTATGCTCTAGAACTCTAACCATTATGTCTCTGCATGTTTTAAGCTGTGTGATATTTTAGTAAAAGAGGCAATAACATGAAATTTGGCCACTTTGTTCTAAGTAATTAGTTCTTACTTTTCAATTTATCAAAGAGCAATTTACACATAAGAAAATATGTAAGAATTATCAGTGTTTTAACACTGTTAATTACTTCTGAACCACATTTATTACATACTTAAAAATTCGCTGTTTTATTCTGGGAATCTTTGTCAGGTCTCAATTCTTTCTACAAGTTTCTTAACACACTGAAGTTTTTGTGCAGAAATCGAAAATATCAGATTTTATACACATTTATGTGACAGCAAAATCACTTTTTCAATATTGCTATCCAATGTGTGTTGCATTTTGGAATGGATTTAGTTATTCTTTACTTATTTTAATGACTTTTTCATGTTGACAAGGTTTAAGTTGCAGTGAACTTCAGTGGTTTCAATATATTATTAAGTCTGTAATTCCAGTGATCAGCATCTAGCAGGGAACCTCACTAGAATTATTGAAAAGAGAAAGCAAGTGAACCATGACACAGTTCAGTAGTTATATCACTTTATAGACAATATTTTCCATGAAAGTTTCTTTGTTATCTACCCAAATACTACAGAGTAGATGTAGTGTGAAGAGTCTTGGTAGCCGTGGTCTTGAGGTCAGATACAGAGGATTGGGTTCTTCTCCTGTGTTGAAGTTATGAAAGGTAGTATGACCAATACAAGAGGTTAAAGACAGCGAATATAAGAGGAAAGCAGAATCGGGAGAGCTCATCAATTCGGCGCGCTCTCACCTTATATTTGGTGAGTGTCTCACGACCTGGACACATGTTATGAGGTACCCTTGATTCACATCCAAGCACAGAATCATCTGTTGTTGCACACTTCTTCTGTAATGGAACAAGAAGGTTATTATTAGTATTGATTCTCATTGTTGTCATCTTCAATATCTCCTTTATCATCTTCGTCGCCGCCCCCGCCCCCACCCCCACCACCGTCACCATTTACAATATTTTGTTTTCTTTGGGAAGCAACTTACAGTTTCATCTAAGCACTGAACTAGAAATCCAGCGTTCCCTTTCACAGTAGGGCTATTTTGTATTTGCTGCATCATTCATGCATATTCTGTACGTGTGCATTAATTTATGTTGACTTTGACTTACCGTTATAAAAATTGATTTAAAATCCTTACTTAGTCCAAGTTTAAATTAAACGTTTCATACAATGCCTATCATAGCTTCCACAGACTGTGTTAAGTATACACAGATATCTCTTTAAATATTTTCAGGGTCATACAAGTTTCAGATACATTGTAAAACTCAAGAAATTAAATGTGTAATGTTGATGCATCTTTTATAGTTTTGTGTATTGTTTTAAAATGATAAGAAGTATGTACAGTTTACATATATGAGGGGGACCCAAAAATAACCGGAAACGACCTGTTGCGCGCGCATGCTTTGTAGTTACGAGTTGTGCTGCTAGGTGGTGTTAGCTGGGGGTCTCCCGCGACTGTTAGTNTTTGCCGCGACTTGAAGAGTGAAGTGCAGTTTTCCCTAACAGAAAGCAAAATTTCACGCACACTCTTTGTTCCTTCTGGTCGGCCATCTCACTAATCGCCAAAGGGTTGAAACAGGAACGCACACAACAGAGCACCACAGACAAACCACTTAACTCAGACTGACGCCAGCTCACTAACAGTCGCGGGAGACCCCCAGCTAACACCACGTAGCAGCACAACTCGTAACTACAAAGCATGCGCGCGCAAGAGGTCGTTTCCTGTTATTTTTGGGTCCCCCTTCGTATATCCTTAACTACAAATGAAACTTGTTTTGATAAAGTCATATAGGATGAGGATAAAAATTCTTAAAATTGTTTTATGTTTGACTGATGTAATAGATATTAATATTTTAAGTTATCTAAAGTAAATCTAAAGAGTTAATTCTATGTCAAAAAGTAGAAGGTCACGATTTCTTTGACAGAGTATGTATATACTATCAGTGTGAAGAAACCTATTTTGTGAGTCTGTAGGTTCTTCAGTGCTATTTAAAAAAGGGAGCAGTTTTCACCAAACACCCACAAGTTTTGGTATATAAATGAATTTCTTTTGCTTTTAAAATTGACAACAATGAAATGCGGTCTTTGTCGGTATAAATTGTGGGATGTAACAGTTACTTAAGTATGCAGAACAGACAAGTTTTAGCGTATGAAGTACATGTCATAAAAGGAATAGTTTCTGCATGAAGTAAGTTATTACCATTGTAACAGCAACAGCCAAATCAGGCTCTTCTGAGCTCTGAGCCACTGCTTTCCCATTGACAGCTTCTGGTGACTTTTTCTTTCCATCCAATATCTCAACTGACTGCTTGCGCCACATGTAATTCACGAATGTAAATTCCAGAAGTGCAGAGAAAACAAATGCTGGAAAAACATATACATTCCAATAAAAATGAGTTTCTAAAATGTAGCATATTATCACTAGTATGTGTCACTATAGACAGGGGTTTTGATTGGAGATTGGTTTTATTGACCACTTATACACACTATTCGTGATCACAATTATGGTGACGTTGCTAATTTCCACACTTCTCAAATCACATGTTAAATATTTTCAGTCTGCCATGTCATCACCAGTACTTGCCTGATAATGGTTCAAACAATGGCCGTTCCTTTGCTTCTGTGCTCAAGTCCTCTCTGAATGGAGGCTCCCTTCCAACTGAACTAACTTGAGTTTTAGTCTGAGTCTTATAATGACCGACGGTCAGTTGGCCAGTCTCTCTTAGAATGAAACACCCACCTGGATCTTACAACCAGATTCTTATTACTATCAGACAGTTCCGGGTTTGTTGATGTGGGGCGCTCTCTCTGACTAGAGGACAGGTCTGTCTTTTACAATTGCTGCTGGTCCCTGCCGCCATAGTCACTCTCGTGTCCAAGTCCCTTCGGACTCGTCACCATATTTTACACTCTCAGATTCGAGACTTCCCTTTTCGTCGCCTCCTACGACTCACAGGGTTACAGTGGAGGAAAACAGAGCTCTTCTATTGTTGCTAAATTGTTTCTACGGGAATGTGTTTTGTTTGTGAAGGCGTTACCCAGTAACGGTTCTGGTATATTTGCTTATCTCGCGATCGTAACCTAGTAACATGTTGTTTCGAGGTCGTTACCAGGTAACGGCTCTACACGCTACAGCATGTTCGCTATATAACCGACTAAGCATGTTTGATCAATATTTCGGCATTTACTTAGTACTCAGGGGAAATTTGCCTGATAAATTGGTTTTCAGGAAAGGGAGGGAATGAATGAAGGAAGAACTGATTATTCATAGTTTTTACTTCTTCCTTCAGAAACATTCTAAGATAACAGATAGAAATTGGTCATATTGGCTTCCTTGCATATTCCTAGAAAGACAAAATTCACAATAATTTTACAATGTGTCTTTCTGTTTCCCTGTAGTTTCCACAGAGTTCCTAGTTAGGAGAAGGAATATAACCAATAGACGATTCAAAGAAGGAAAGAGATTAATTAATTTTAGGAGTCAGCCGAGACTGAGTTCTTTGAAACTGTGGCCTTAAATTTGATTATTGTACCAGGTGCAGATGATATATAAGTATGGAGCATTGGTGTAATGATAACTGCAAAGTACAAACCAAAGAGCTAAGAAGAAACCCGCTTCTTTGCCACTTTATTCACCACAAATCCTATTTTTTTTATTGCTAGTGGGGTAGGACTAAGTCCCTTGTACTGCGGCCACTACTGGCCTATTGTACCAGCCCCAGATGATAGGCGAGGGTGATTGTGGAGCAATTGGTGGAATGAAGATTGGCAAGGGAAACCGAAGTACTCGGAGAAAACCTGCCCCAGCGCCATTTTGTCCACCACAAATCCCACTTGACCAGACCCGGGATCGAACCCGGGCCACCGCAGTGGGAAGCCAGCGACTAACCGCTTGAGCTGTGGCGCGGCCATCCACAAATTCTATACAGACTTCATTGCGATTAAACTCGAGTCTCAGTGGTGAAAAGGCAGCGACTAACTCCCTGAGCCATGACATAAACTTCTAGAACAGTTACATTTTAGTATCATAACAAAACAAAGTACATTTCTAAACTTCCATCTCACAACTCAACTGTGCAGGTACCCATCCATACATGAACACTTCTGTTTCACAAGTCACCTGTTCAGGTACCCATCCATACATCAATACTTCTGTTTCACAACTCACCTGTGCAGGTACCCATCCATACATCAACACTTCTGTTTCACAACTCACCTGTTCAGGTACCCATCCATACATCAACACTTCTGTTTCACAACTCACCTGTTCAGGTACCCATTCATACATCAACGCTTCTCTTTCACAATTCACCTGTGCAGGTACCCATCCATACATCAATACTTCTGTTTCACAACTCACCTGTGCAGGTACCCATCCATACATCAATGGCCTTCACATAGCTGACCTGGGGTAATCCACTCTGGATCCCTAAAACAGGAACACTTAATTGATGGCTAAGCTCTGAATTTCGATATATTATTCATTTTCACACTTCCTGAAACAGTTCACTGCCCTCCAGAATATAATAATTGTAAATATGTTGTCTTTCAAAGTGCAATGAAATCATATGTTATAAACCAGCTATACTTGCATCAATTAGCGACAAACTATGAAATATGATATTATAAGGTAGTGGCAGGGGTAATGGTTGTGTCAACAGCAGCAGCAGCAGCAGTAATAGTAGCAGGTGTTGCAGTAGAAGTAGCATAGTAACAACAACAGTAGCAGTGGCAGTATTAGTAGAGGTCATGCCTGCGGTCATCATCATCATCATCATCATATTTATTTTACATTTCAAATATGTGTATAGGGAAACTAACAATACATCATGTAAAAGACAGTTGTATGCAGAAGCAACATTTGAAAATCTGTTACACAGTAATTTGTAATAATGTGACATAACGCCTGAAAGCTGGAATAGTGGAGCCAGAGCTAGACGTCTGTTTATGAGCAACGACTAAGTAAAAAGTAAGTTTCCGTTACAGCGGCTAGCTGTAACACATGTCCGTGGCAACGAATATCTTGGTATAAATCAAGGTGTTGCCCGGAGATTGGCACACATTTTCATGGCAACAGATAAAACAGAATAACAGAGTACAATCAGCCTTTCTACTTGGTGGCCCGAGATTCAGTTAGAGAATTCGAGAGATTAGAGACTCTTCGACATCATCGTTCAAGGATTGAAGTGTTACCGAGCAACGACTAAGCCAGCAAACGTTGAGTTCTAACTACAGTAATCTTTAGAGTGTTATAATTAATTGAAATTACGACTTTTGAGTATCCAGTAAATCTATCCACCAATCCAAACCCCGTCTACAAGTCACTAGTACACGTGGCAATATGATTTGGGCCAACACAATTGTAAGCAGGATGTTCCTCACACTCTTCAGTGGTTTCCAAGGATAGTAGAAAGAAGCATAATAGTGATTCAGAAAAGACAAAAACAATTACAGACAGAGCCACTGCATGCAATTCGTTCTGCATTTCCCTAGATACGTTATTATCCAGTCAGAGCCACTGCATGTAATTCGTTCTGCATTTCCCTAGATACTTTATTATCCAGACAGAGCCACTGCATGTAATTCGTTCTACATTTCTCTAGATACTTTATTATCCAGACTTAATCTAGAATGCGCCATTCATTTTCATGGTTTGATGTTTGGGCAACATTCCGTACAAAAGACAATAATTATTTCGGTTCAGAACACAAGAGCAGAATACATTTATTGATAACAATTAAATCATTAAATTCAGCAAAATCACGGCTAGTGATATTCTGCTCATTGCAAAGTCTGTGCGCTCTGAAGTGTGTGATGACAGGTTCAAATTCAGTTAATGGCATGGCTATGTTAGAATATTTATATGTTATTAACTATCAGGAAGGGCTGTTCTCACATCAAAAGAAGACTTATTTTAAAATATACTGGATGAAACAAATCCATAAACCATTAACTTGGAGGTAGAAGAGGATACGTTAAGATAAAAATGTATATTGTTATAGGCCATTACAATTTTTGGACTGTTGAATATGCGATACAATTTTCAGATTTTGGAGGAGCAGTTCAGCCTTTAATAGTCTAACATCACTTCCTTAATTTAAATATATCTCCTGGTGTAGGGGGCACACGGTAGCCTATTTGGTTGAGGCACTATGCTACAAGCAGGAAGGTAGCGGGTTCAAGTCATTGAATTTTTTTCAATTGACCTAATCCTTTCAGCCGCACTATGGCCCTGGGGACGACTCAGCCTCTAACAGAAATGAGTACCAGGAATTAATTAAATAATTTTCCTGGGGAGTAAAGCGCGGCCGGCGCGTAAGACTGACAATATTTCCGCCATCTTTCAGCCGATTGTCTAGATAATGTGGGACCCTCAACGGCTCAAAACCCCATGGGCCTTCACGGCCTGTTACAGGGGTAGCTTACTTTTTGCCCTTTTATAGAAAAGAAGCAAGCAATTACACATATATTGCATATGTAGCTAAAGAGCCTCTCTCCCCTTACCCATGCGGCAACTTCTCCGACTTCTGTGTTTTGCATGTTGTCTAATTGACTCTAGACAGGCGTACCCACAAAACGACGATGTTCTTCTGTATTGAATTTCCGTTTTGCATGATGGACATTTTATTTGTAAGGCTTCTTTGATTAGCTTTCCAGAGAAAAGTAAAATCTGATATTTTGCAGTATGAGAGAAAAATCTGATGTGTTTACAGGTTCCTATTTCAACTGCCTCAAGAATACCCGTGTTGTCAATCTGTACGGCATTGTGAAAGGTGTCGTTTGATACGTGTTACTTATCAAGATAGTAGGCAGAGACATTATGTAATTATGTGTCTAACGTAATTATCATTTTCACACCAATACTGTGACTTTCTTAACTAGTCAACTAATGTACCAAATAAACTAAGAAACGACCATTTGTCTGATCAGATTCTAAAGGGTTCTGGCTATGGTGTGGTTGAGGTTAGCTCTATATAAGAGACCCAGCTGAGTAGGCATCTTCCCCACCTCACCTGAGGACGGAAACAGATTAGTTTCCGAAATATCATGCTTTCTAGTTTCTAGAATATCGGATGATGGAAAAACTCCCAAAACCCAATAATACTGAGAAGTATCTCTCTTAACTAATTACAGTATACGTCCTCTTGCCGGTCACGGTAGCCGAGCGGTCTAAGGCATGCACTGTCTTCGCTCGCTCGGAATCCGGGATCGTGGGTTCGAATCCCACTCAGGGCATGGATGTTTGTGTACGTTTTTCTACGTTTGTCTACAGGTAGAGGCCTTGCGACGAGCTGATCACTCGCCCAAGGAGTCCTACCATATGTGTAAGATCTAGAAAAACCGAAGTGAACGGAGTTCATGGAGGTAGGCCTAGGACCACTGGGGCTGTAGTGCCAAGGAGGAAAAAAATACGTCCTCATATCCATGCTAACGAAGAGGAAAAGATACAGGGATAACAAGAAACAGGATATTCGAAGTTTTGGGTACGATCAGGGACCATGGTTGTTGCTGAATATAGAAATTTGGAAATTTACGCATAGCTTCAAGTTTGTTCAATTATCTCACTAGCCACAGGTCTTACGGAAAATATGTAGTGAACATAAGATGAGTGATTTACATTCTTTTATAACTTATAATGTGCCACATTATGAGTCCTGTTGTGCTAATATCATTGCACTTTGTACTTACATGTGACCGCCTCTGTGGTCTAGTGATCAGAGTTCCTGGCTACATATACAGAGGTCCCGGGTTCGCTTCCCAGCGCTACCACATTTTCTGAAAAGTAGTGGGTTTGGAACGGAGTCCACTCAGCCTAGTGAGGCTAACTGAGGAGCTATTTCAATGAAATAGCGGCTCCGGTCTAGAAAACCGAGATTAACGGCCGTATGGATCCGTTGCGCTGACCATGCAACACCCTCTGTCCGCTAAAGTTGGCACTAACTTCGCCGACAGTCGGTGGTCGCTCGGTCGGTATAGTTATCTTGCGGACTACAGGCCACGGAGTTTTTTGTGCCTACATGTATGTAACTATAATCTCGAATGCAAATTTACAACTTACATTTGAAAATTTTTCACTTTGATAAATACTTAGTTAACAACGGAAAGAAGCTCTTGTTTGTATTAATATTAAGTGGTTTAATGAAGTTAAAATTGAAACGGTTTAACAATTATTCATGAAACTCTTCTGTACCAAGTTACACGAATACCTGACTAGTGATTCTTGAGTTATTTCCCGAATACAAATGGATATGTGGCAGCGCTAAGCACACTTAACAGGCACTGTATGTGGTTTGGAATTATCCTGAAATTGCACGGGTAAGTCACAAACTGGATAAACTGCACGTGGATAATTGAAAGTACACCGTAACGCCCGTAACTCTTCTCTAACAGAACAAGGAAGTCAAATACTGCTAACAACAGATTTTTCTGAGTAATTTCACATCATTTTATAGCCTCTTTCTCTAAGATCCATGTTAATATTATATTCTCAAATCCTTTTCTTTCATATGGCTGCCCACCAGTAAGTATTGTCGTGAGAGTCATTAATACACTGATAAAACGCAAGAGAGAGGAAACAGAAATCCATGCATGGTTAATCTCAGTAGTAGATGAAGGTGAGACGCTTGTACATCCATGCTTCTTTAATATCTGGGTGAAAGGATGCTGGAAACCATTATTTGTTGTCATGTTGGGTGGTCGTGCAGCTAGCCAAGAAGTTGTGGTACCTCTGAGATAAAATTCCAATCAACCACAATAAAAAATATTCGCTTCTATTTTTTATTTCTTTATTCTATGCATACCGTCGTGTATATTAAGGTTTTAGTACGGTCACGCAATAACGTTTTGATTACTGTAAAATAAAATGATTGGTATTAAGTGTCACCGCTAATATAATAAACGGACTGAATTACTGGTTTTATTTATTATCAATTGTGTTATTAACAATGATCAAAAGTTGTTGTGTGACGATACTAGGGCCTTAATATCCACTCCACTGACTGAACTATATATATACCTCATCAGATATAAAAGTACAGCCCATTTTAACATTCATTGTATAATCACTTGATCATTATTAGAACGACCGTCTCTGTGGTCTAGTGGTCAGATTTCCTGGCTACAGATCCAAAGGTCCCGTGTTCGATTCTCGAAGTCACCAGATTTTCTGAGAAGTAGTGGGTCTGGAAAGGATAATTGAGGAGCTATTTCAAGGAAATGGCAGCTCCGGTCTAGAAAACCGAAATTAACGGCCTTGGGGATCCGTTGCCCTGAACACGTGACACCTTCTATCCGCAAAAGTTGGCACTAATATCGCCGACAAGCGGCGGTCTGCCGGTCGATATAGTTCGCCTGCGGACTACAGGCCACATAGTTTGATTGTTTTTCATTATTGTAAGAAAACTATACGTACTTCATAAAGTTCTCATTATCTCGCACTTAATCTTCCGCACATCAAAATATTTTCCTATTACATCATTTTGGGGCACGCGGTAGCGTAGTGGTTGAGGAGCTATGCTACAAGCCGGAAGGTCGTGGTTTCAAGTCCCGATGAGGTCATTGGATTTTTTCAGTTGACCTAATCCTTCCAGCCGCACTAGGCCCTGGGGTTTACTCAGCCTATAACAGAAATGACTACCAGGAATCTTCCTGGGGGTAAAGGGCGGTCGGCGCGTAATGCTGACAACCTTACCGCCATCTTTGAGCCGATTGTCTAGATAATGTGGGAGCCTCAACGTCTCACAACCCTATGGGCCTCCACGGCCTGTTACAGAGATAGCTTTACTTTTTATTACATTAGTTTTAAATACCTAGAGTTATTTTCCTTCGTTTACAGAAAATGAAACCACATCTCAAAACATAAAAGATGAACCATAGTGTGGGATTGTCGATGCTTGAAAAGACACCCGGTTATTAAACTTCTGTACAAATATTATTTGTTGCTATAATCAGGACACGGACGCGCTTCAGTCTACTGTGCCTTCGTTAATCGTTGCATAGTAGCACTTCGGACGATGGATGATTTTCAGCTGGTTCATTTCGCAGCTGAACTCTGAGCCTTCTCCCGAATGAATGAATCAGTGGAGTCTTGAGTCTGAGTCTTATGTTACGACCGACGGTCAGCCAGCTTGTCTGTCTTGGAATAGAGCACCCACCTGGTGCTTACGACCAGACTTTGATATTGTCAGACAGTTGCGGGTTTGTTGATGTGGGGCGCTCTCTCTGACCAGAGGACGGGCCTGTCTTTTGTCAGCGCCATTGTCTGCAGTAGTAAGTCATTTGTCATAATGTGAAGGTTATTTACATTTTACACGTTAAACATGTTAATAAATACATATAAATTATATACAGGTCCTCTGTAAGTCCAGGCTCAGTACAGCATATTATGCCCTATTTCTAGTAGCTTCCGCTACAACGGCAGCCTAGTCACTTGAAGGGTCTTATGTTTGACCGTAGCCAAGTTTAAGCCTCTTGCACTTTTCTATGTTGGGCTTCACCTTGTCCAATATTGCGAACATTTTCGTTATCATAATTTTTGTATGACTTATTCTTGTTGCCTGCATAAATTTGTTTCATAATCATATACATACGTGTAATTCGCGAACCGGCGTGCGTCTTGGAAAATTGCCAGTGGTGCGGAGAACCTTGTTTTACAGGCGCTGCAATTTCTTTAGATGAGTGTCTGCCTCAAATTCCCAGGCGGGATTAGCATAAGTCATTACAGATCTAATGAGAGCTTTGAGGAGGGTTAATTTAATATCAGCTCCTCAATCGATCACTTTTGAATAGGGAATACACTCTAAAAATGTTCTGAAGACCTTGGCGTCGATCATTTCTATGTGCAATCTACATGTAATCTTCCTGTCGAAGATTACACCGATAGGAGGGTTACATTCCATGAAAAACTAATATTTATGATGAAGGTTTATTGATGACTAAACCCATCTCCTTGTTAGCTCTCAGGGACTAGCTTTTCCACATATGTACAGATACTTTTTACATCTGGAAGCTGTCTGCTCCAACTAGAACCTAAAGACGTTATTGATAACAAGGAAATCACTTGGCATAGTTGTGAATTCCTTACTCTTCGATAATTGTAACCTTAAACATGAATGTTATAAAGGATTTTATGTTGCCCAGAATATTTTAAACTTCTGATTATGCAACATGAACTATTTCTATGAATAATATCTATTACTTAAAAATTCCCAAAGATTCACACAATAAAAGAATTTTAAATTTTTATTCACAAGCAATATTTGGTTCAAGGTTTATAGGTACGATTTTGATCTATTTTTATTCAAAAATTTTGCTTTAATCACCTATTTTTAGTAAACAGAGCTTTGTATGCAAACTGGTTTGCATACAAAGCCTTCGCATTTCTTCACAACAGATATCAGCTCCAGATCCTGATTTCCGGCAGCAGTAAGCTTCTGACGTACGAGCACGAGTAATGTGGACGCGCCTTTAAACAGGCATATTTTTCAAACTAAACTTTTCAACCTTCCATCTCAGACGTTTGTACGTCACATATATTTGTGTTATTTATAGTAGGATATTTTTAAAATTCATGTGAAATAGGGAGCCTGGATAGCTCAGTCTGTACAGCGATTGGCTACGGGCTGGACGACCGAGGAGTCGGAGTTCGAGTCTCGGTAGAGTCAAGAATCTTCTTTTCTCTTCTTCGTCGAGACCGGCGCTGGGTCCCACTCAGCCTCCTATCCAATGGGTACCGGAGTTATTTCCTGGGGGTGAAGCGGCCAGGACGTGAAGCTGACCATTCACATCCAACTATTGCCGAGGTCAAGAAAATGTGGATCTATACATCGACTCTTCCATACGTCTTCAATGTGTAGTGCTTGGTTAGTTAAGCACAGGGACAATTTTACCTTTTTTACCTTCATGTGTAGTGATTTACATTGGCACAATAGTAGCAGATTTCAAGAAATTCTGTGAGATGTTTCAAATTTGTTAAGACAGGCAGACAGGCACATATGTACACAAAATAATAATACTAACAGTTTACTTCTAGGTTATTATCTTACGCTACACAGTCTAGAAACTGAGAGCATCCTAAAATAAACCACAAAACATCATAAGGTTCTTATAAATTGAGGAACACAGGTTAGAATATGCAAATTTTATGAATTATACGATGCATTTACAAAAACGCTGCTAATTCTGTACACAGTTAACATCTGTATTTTTTTATATTCACTGCTGTTTATCCCAATCAGTTTGAACTCCGGGAAACAGGAAAGCTTATATATTTCTAGGGATGAATTGGATCAGTTTAGGGCAGCATACATGCCTATTCTTTTTCGTATAAAACTTAATGAAAATTACCTTGTCAGTTTCTTACCTGATGACTGGGAGGACACTGCAAGAAGGGTCGTGACTCCAAGAGTGGTTCGACCGGGCACTGAGTCCACGTCCATCCAGAAGGAGACCCAAGAAATGACGACTATGAGGATGGTTGGTAAGTAACTTTGTATCAAGTGGAACCCGACCGAGCGACTAAGGTGAAACTCTGCTACCAAACAGCTATAGTTGCCTGCAACACACTTAACTTGTCAGAAAATTTTGCTCCAAACTTTTTACATCACTCTGAGTCTACAAAAATTAAAATTACATAAAGACTTCTCTTTTCTTCTGGAATACCTTGTTAATATTCGGATGAGGAATCTCACACCTAAAATCATGCATATTAAAATACACAAAACTTTAATTTCACCTCTTTTTCTGTATGTGTTTGAAATGTATGACAAGAAAGTTCTGAGGAGTATCTTGACATGCGAAAGCTGAAACAACAGGAGGATGTAGGAAATCTTGTATGGACAAGAGAAATTGTCTGAAGATCAGAAAATACTGTGTTATACTGTAGTCTTAAACCATATTTGAAGAATCATATTTGAGTATAGATGTCTGGGACAGTAAGTTTGAATATATGCATATGCGCACATTCTAAACGATTTGATAGTATTTCACTCAACCGATGTATATCACTGAACGTAGAACCGTAAGTGTAAAACTAATTATCTTTCAGTGGTTTTATAAACTTGCCTAACGCTCAGTTGTCACGGAAACGTCTAATAATGGCGAAAAATTTCCCAGTTGTCACTGAAATTTCAGCTTCTATTGCAGGGAATAAAAATGTAGCATCGAAAGCAAGAGTTTAAAAATATGAACTAACTAAATAGCCTCCACATAATGCTGTCTTCTTCGATATGGTGCACTAGATGGTTACCAATGTTTGGTGGAAACTGCTGCCTCCACTTTATTTCCTGAAAATGTAGGCAGCAGGTTCCTCTGAAACTTCACTAACGATTTTCCGGATGTTACCAATAATCTGGAAGGCGGCATCCTATATTTTCACCTTCATGAAAATATATTCTGAAATGCTTCCACTTATAAAGTAGCTTTGCCCTGGAAGATACACTGAATTTTAGTGCCACTTAAATTGGTTTTGTTTTCCTGTCAAACACAACTGAGTTTCCTATCCTTACCCATCCACATCCCAGCTAACGCAGCCCAAGCAGGAGGTCGTGTTGACTTGGACGGTTATGCAAGCTACATAAAAATGAGGGAAGATTCATATTGCTGATATCCAGTAATACTATTGAGGTAAACTACAATTGTATTTATTTTGGGGCTTCCCCTCGGAAGAGGTTCTTATATTGTAATCGTGCAATAGATTATATTCCTTTGTCTGCAGCTTACTCGTTTTAGCATCAGTGAGGACAATTTGAGTGCAGTCCCATCAGTATGATTTCACGTATTTAGAAGAGACATGTTAATGCTTTTCACAAATGTGTCTATAATTTTACTGTAACAAATCATGGAACCCAGCGAAAGGAGAAATGAAAGAGTGAACAAGACTTGCTTGGAAGAAACACAAGCTGTACTGTCATTAATATCACAACAGTGGGGAATGAGTTAGCAACGAGTTCTGTGGATGACACTCACCGATATGAAATGACTCCTGGCAATCAGAGGCTGCTATCTTGACTATTTCAAATTGGGGCATGCGCAGACCTTTCCCCATAATAACGGGATTCATTGTCTTCCACTCCAGACTCAACTCTTCGATTGTCTTAGAGACTAAAACAGAGCAGACGATACATCAACAATTGCAGTAACATCACTGGCAAACACCTTCATCACCACTGACACACTCTTTGGATACTTACAGCTGGCGACCTCCATTGTGCAGACTTGACTATCGAGGGGGAATTTTGAAAGATCCATCATGCAGGAGAAGGTCAGCTTCAACCTGAAACAAATAAATAAATAGTTACAAATCACTTACACAGGAAGCTGAGCCCTTCTTGAGAAACTGCAACTTGTGTAGCTACTCAAGAACTTCCCAACATATATGGAACCCGAAGGTTCATTACCGTGTTCACAAGAGCCCTCCACTGGTCCCTATCCTGAGCCTGATCAATTCAATGCATACCACACCATCCTATCTCTTTAAGATCCAATTTAATATTATCTACCCACCTACGTCTTGAACTTTCCAGTGGCCTCCTTCATTCCGGTTGTCCCACCAATATCCTATATCAATTTCTCTTCTCCCCATTCGTGCTACATGCCCTGCCAATCTCCTCCCCCTTGACTTCATCATTCTAATTATACTTGGAGAAGAGTGTAAAACTCTTCATTATGCAGTAATACTTACAAATACGAACATATGCAAATTAATCCGTTTCCAGAGAATGCTGAAAATAAAGTTTAGGATGAGAGTAACAAGATAGGTCCCGCTTTAACATTAATCACTGTTACAACTAGCACATTTATTACTGATTATCACAATTACAACCTTCATTGCAATTAACACTGTCCCTCTGGTAATTAACGGAATTCATAGACAGGGATCTCGGTTTAAATTAAAGTTTTGTTTGGTTCCGAGATGAATGTTAGTAGACTAACGGCTTATTTTGAAATACAGTTTATGGTGTGAATGTTGTAAAGCGTAAAACTCTTAGTTACTATAGGATTCTNTCCATCGTCCTGGTTTTAAAGATAACTAAGAAAAACACGACATTTCGGAAACTGGACCTGTTTCTGTCCTTAGGTGAGGGAAACAGATCCAGTTTCCGAAACGTCGTGTTTTTCTTAGTTATCTTAAAAAAAACCAGGACGATGGATAAAGTCCGAAAACCCAATATATCTGTCCGAAAACTCTTTCCTACATAACCTCTAAAATTGAAGGCTATATATAATTTCACACAGAAATTCTAGCAAAGTATCAACTTCATTTTCGTATTTTCTTAAGCTGGTCTGTACGTTTCAATATCGTCAGAAGAGGAAAGCGAACTCTGACAAATTGAAACGCAAACAGAGTTCAGCAGCAGAAAATGTACGAAGTGACGGGGCTTAACCTAATTGTCATTCGGGGTAGCTTCAGTGTAAGGAGCAGAAGAACAAAAGGCGTACAGAAGTAGATTTAAGTGATGTATTTCTCTAACCACACTGCCTCACGGGAAGATGAAAATTTAGGGATGGATATGGCTGATGGTGTTTTATGAAAGGTTAGGAGAAATGGTTGCTACAGAATAATAAAAATAATAATACGAGTAATGATAATGATAAATCTTTCTACTTTCCCTTACCTCTATTTGACAGAGGTATTGTAACCATTCCTTTCCCTTTACTTTATCACCACATTAAACAAGAAGTTCTTGTAGGAAGGAAGCGTCTACTTCCTTTTGATACGACACGGACTGCATAGAAAATTTTCCGGCAAATATTCGTTTCCGTGGGTACTGAGTTCTTAACTAGCAACACAAACAGACACAGAGATACGCATCCAATATTTTTTTTCTAATGTTGCTTTTATTCATTGCCGCGGTCAAGTCTTTATCGGGCGGTTGCCTAGCAACGAAAGGAGGGATACATTTGAGCGAGCCTTTGCCTAGCAACGATAGGAAGGATACACATACAGACACACAGACTTTTGAAAGATATTTATGAAGAGCGCCGTTGAGATGGGCTCAGGTGCCATAATATATATACAAAGTTTCATAAAGACTGGCTGAGGGATTCAAAAGTTAATAGGAGGGGTTCACAGATACACAGCCACACAGACAGCATGGAGATAGCATAAGCCTACTTGGGAAGAGTGGGCTAAGAATATTCGATGTTAGGAATCTTTGGAAAACTTTTTAGATTAATGGTTCAGCTACTGATAATGACGGAAGAACAGAAGTTGCTGCAACAGCGCCTTGCTGCTGCTGGAGCCCACTGTGCTAAATAAATCTTAATTTTCAAGTTATACAGCCTCTGTCCGTTACGTTAGGTGAATATACGTAATTGTGAAGATTTGCGAACAGCAAATTAAGACGTCATCCACTGTAATGAAACATGGCACCATCTACGGAGATCATGTCTGAATTTGTGTACGTATTTGCCTACGGAAATGCTTATTTACCTTCTCGTCTGTCCACAACAAGTCGTGTCTTTAAAACGCAGGCTTACGGGACAGTGCAAAAGCAAAGGCTAAGGAATAGCTCCTTTTTGCACTAACAATAACTGGGTTCAGGTTAAGTGCCTTCCTAAAAGGCTGGGGTTCGCCTGCTCCTCTGTCCGCCGTAAGTTGTCTGGAGAACAGAGCATCATATAGGCCCAAGGCACATTATAAAAAGCAACACTAACTCCTTGCACTAACAGGAGTTGGGTAAAGGTTAAGTGTCGTACTGGAAGGGCGACGATAAGTGCAGTGAACAAACACAGAAGAGAAACACTTCAGAAGCAAATACCGTTATTTCCAGTTTCAGAAGTGGGTTGAACTGTTTGTAACAAAACTTGAAGACTAGGGAAGTAGGAAGGAAATCAAACAAAATGCTCTCGATCCCCACTAAGTCACCCAAAGTACGTGTAAGTGCCAAAGAGAAAGTTAAAGTAAATCTGTCTTCGTGTGGGATGTATTCGGCGGGGGCTCAGATCAAATTACAACATTATTTTTTATATTATAATTTAGTTTAGCCTATCACGATGGCCCCGTGGTCTAAGACATAAACTGTATTTGTTCGCTTGAAAGCTGGATCGTGGGTTCCAATCCCATTTAAGATATGGATGTCTCTGTGTGCGTTTATTCTGTTTCTGCTATCCTGTGTGTAGGCAGCGGCCTTGCGACGGGCTGACCACTCGTCCGAGGAGTCCTACCGAGCGTGTGAATAAGATTACGAAACTGACGAAGAGGCCAGGGCCCAAAAAAGGGCTGTACAGCCGCTGATGAATGAATGAATGAATAATGGTTTAGTTTGAGACATAATTAATCAGCATAAACAACGGAGATGCGAGATAACGGCACCGACCACAGTCCCCGACTAGTGTGGATGATTTCAGAACCCAGCAGAGAATAAAGCAGTGGTGCTCGTCAGTACTTCAAGCTGCCATTTACTAATGTAAGGACCGAAATTAGAGTGGGAGAGAGCTGACACCTTCCATGTTGTTTTTTAAACCGAAATTACCATACGCAAGCAACTAAAATTGATTTCCTTTATGTAATCACAAGTTCCATAATCATCATCACCAGGTAGGTAACACTATTTTACCTTACAATATAAATGAAATTAACGGCCGTGGGGATTCATTGCGCTGACCATGAAACACCCTCTATCCGCTAACGTTGGCACTAACTTCACCGATAAGCGGCGGTGGCTCGGTCGGTATAGTTCGCTTGAGGACTAAAACCACGGGTTTTAGTTTAGTTATAAGTGAAATATCGGAAAATACCTATCACATTAGATGGCCATATTCTTTGTTAAACAAAAACAGTGACCGTGTGGGAATTTAGCATTTTGGAAACTGTAACTACACCATTTGGTTTTATCTGATTCTGCAGAACGACATAAGCATTTATTTAACAAATTGTTATCTTCGTAATATCCACGGGGATATCCAAATTGTTACAAACTACAAGGTTTCAACACAACATTGATTAGAATTTAGCGGAACGTGTGTTTTGTAATAGTTCAACATTGTTTTTACAAGTATCATAAATTATTTTCTTGGGGCTTAAATATTTATTAATTTTCTCAACATTGACATGCTAATATCATGGATAATAAAATGTTTCTAAATTGTTGATAATCTAAAGGATATTCTAGTGAAACTTTTACACGAGGACAGCAGAGAATAGCAAGGACTTCCAGCATTCATAAAATCAACTTTTATATTTCACAAAATTCTAGTCCTGCAGAAATATTACTATTATTGTAGCGTGTAGACCCGTTACTAGGTAGCGACCGCGAAACAAACAGTTCCCGAGTTCAGGCGCTACAATAGAGGAACTGCTGAAAACGATGTCTTCTGCGCCGTCCGTGTCGAGATGTTTTCAACCGAGACAAGTTTAGAAGGTAGTCAGTGAGACCGTACCCTGCAGGGCGACGAAAATGGAACCCAGTGCCTTGAGGTAGAGAGAGGCCACCCTGTTCCTGGGGGATATAAATACGGGGACCTGACCCTCCAGGTTCGTAAAGTCTCGAATCTGAGACAGTAGAATATGGTCTTGAGTCCTGCAAGACTCGGACCCGGGAATGACTGCGCTGGCGAGACCAGCAGAAATTATAAATGACAGACACGTCCTCTCGTCAGAGGCGATGTTACATAAGGACTGTGACAGCAAGAGTTCAGTTGAACAAAGAAATAGCTGGTCGTCAGTGTCAGGAGACTTGGCGACAAGACGAATTGGTTCGTGCTAAACCGCCACTTGTAAAGTAACAAAGTTAGTTAAGCTTGGGTTTCCTCGGGTAGCGGTACCGTAATCAAGCGGCCGTAATATGACGGTAAATGACGTCACTAAAACGTTGCCATGGAAACCATGTTCATTTATTTCCATGGCAACGTTTTAGTGACGTCGTTGACCGTCATATTACGACCGCTTGATTACGGTACCGCTACCCGAGGAAACCCAAGCTTTAGTTGTAAGACAGTCTGTGAAGAGAAGAATAGGAGGTTGTTGTCAGATGGTCGCCAGCCCGAGAGTTAGTCAATTGGAGCAAGAATTCAATTGTGGGATATTCGCCGGACAGTAATGACGTGAGCACAGACTCCCCAGTGTTAAGGTCCGTTACCGGGAAACGACTAATGAAAGCAGACTGAGAAGCTTAACGTGAACTGCACTGATTTGTAAATGTGGAGATCAGCGATGGCGCTATAATTAAGTGTAGCCACGAGTCATGTGTTAAAGTTGATAATAAAACCAGCTTCCAATCTAAATCCCGTCTATAGCCCCACTCAAACACTTGACATTATTATTTTTTATTC